TCGGGAGCCACCAATATGATTGACAGCCCGCCTGATCTCACCCTGGCTAACAGCGGGAGAATGCAGGACAGCGGTGGGAAAGCATACAGGAGAACTCTCGGCCACGGTCAGTGTGCAAATGCGTCCCTGCCCAGTGGCGGTTCGTCCTGAGCTCGAAGGGAGAACCAAAGCGGGCAATGCGTGTTCATGCGTGACGCGAATAGATCCACCTCGGCTCTCCCGAACCGTTCCCAAATTTGGAGAACGATGTTCGGGTGCAGACGCCACTCGTCGTCTCAAGGACCCCCTTGTGACATGATGTCTGCCCCTACGTTCAAGTAGCCTGGAATGTGTGCTGCTCTCAATGAGCAAAGGTGCTCGTGAGCCCACAGACCTGACTCCTCCCTGGCGATTGATGTGGGCTACTGTGGTTCGGTTGTCTGACCAGACCAACACATCGCGACCCCGAAGGGTAGACGCGAAGTGGGTCAGAACCAATAGAACCTTTTCCAACTCTAAGAGGTTGATGTGACGACTCGAAAGAGGCCACACACCTATTAATTGGGTTTGACATGCCTCTCTGACTGGATGGGGAGGGACATCTGTAAACACTGGAATGTAGGAGGACACTTTGCCTATTGGGACTCTGTGCGTGAGAACACGCGGGTCTCTCCAATAGTTCAGATCTGCACTGAGTGAGAGAGGAACCACCACCAACCGACGACGTTGACACACTGGGTCTAGTCGTAGTTGGGCGAACCATCACTGTATCCTGCGCATGCGCAGGAGTCCCAGCGGAACCACGAAATGCGCCAACAACATGAGATCCAAGAGTGACATGACCGAAAGCGCCGTTACCGTGTGATTCGGACGAAACCTTCGTAGGGCTAGCAACATAGCAACCCTTCGAGGGTCCGAAATTCGAGCCCTAATCGTTACAGTGTCTATCTGTATCCCCAGATAGACAATCTGATGACTGGGCCAGGGTGCACTCTTTTTCCAATTCACAGCGAACCCCAGACGCGTGAGATGAATCACTGTCTGTGTCGTGTGAGTGAACGCCAGCTCTGCTGAGAACCAGTAGATCGTCTAGGTAGGCTAGTAGCCTTATTCCCTGACGACGCAACGGTTCTAATGCCGCCTCCACACATTTGGAAAACGTGCGAGGTGCCAGGGCGTACCCGAATGGCATCCTCGTGAACTCGTATGCCACCCCTTGAAAGGCGAACCACAGAAACTTCCTGTGACGCGGCTGCACCGGCACATGAAAGTACGCGTCCTTTAGGTCTATGCTCGTACAAAAGTCTCCTTTCTGGACACATTCCAGTAGACGTTTCGTCGTTAGCATTCGGAAGGGCCATTTGGCTACGCTCTCATTGAGAATGCGTAAATCCAATATCGGCCTCATTCCCCGTCTTTTTCGGCACCAGGAAATAGGGCAAATATAGCCCTTTGTTCCTTTGCTCCCAAGGAACTACTGTGACCGCCTCCTTCGCCAAAAGTTCCATAATCTCTGCAACGAGAGCGGTGACTTTTTCGGGCGTTTTCATCACCGTCTCCACCACCCCCCTGAATTGGGGAGGGGTGCGATGAAATAGGATGGCATAAGCCTTCTCCAGCGTCTGGTCTAGCCAGCGGGAAAGAGTACAGCTTCGCCGCCACTCCCAGCAATGCAGAGAAAGCGAAAGAGCGCGAAGCTGTGGTACATTCAGTAGGAAGGACCTGTATTCCTCGACGGCCCTCGCAGCCGCTGTTCCCAAACACTGAAGTGGTGGAACAGCCCAAGGCAGGCCTCCCAAGAAAGGGAGAGGAAACATTAGCGCGTTCTGAGAGAAACGGGGGCGCCGATACGTTGGTTAAACTCGTAACCTCGATATTCCGGCCCTCCGTGAACGCAGCACGGGTCTGAACTGCACTGACTGAGGCGTTAGCCTGAGACAGAGCGCCATCCCCGAATAGCGATTGCGCGTCATCATTCCATTACCTGGCTGTGCCTGCAGTTTGCTATGTGAGACCTTCACTACAGCACTCCTAGAAGTCTGTAATGTGAGGTCTTTATGAGGTAAAGCAAGGCGGCGCCTTGTTACCTTTTTAACACCCGCCTCATGTGTGCTCAGCTACGCACCCTTGGAGTGAAGAATCCTGAACGTTCTCAGATGTATTATGGAAAAGGGGCTCTCTTGTGACAAAGTCAATTGGAGCCAACTCTTTTTTACACACAGATACATACAGTCTCCTCCGTACCCTCAACAGAAGGGTGGGGGGGAATAGTGGGCGCAGTCGAACCAGGCGCTGTGCCAGCTTCCATTCTCTCCACCTCGTCCCGTCATAGACGCTGTCGCTTCTGGCTGCCCTTCGGGTGATGCCAGGTCGGCGTTCTGATGACCTCCCTTGCCGGCGGAATGGTCGGAACCTCAGGTGCTGCTGGGGGGGTGGAGCCCTCTCTCCTGCTGCTCGAGGTCGCCGTTTGACGCCGGGCACGACGCCTTGGAGTAGACCCAGGTCTACTAGAGGCGGTGGAGGTGGACGGTTTCTGCGGCGCATGGCTAGATCTCCCTGCCAGTGGTAGGTGTCTGGCCAACTGCTTCCTCTCCTCGTCCAGCTTCATGAAGCGCTCCGTCGCATCCTTGACGGCGACCCAACAAAGGCCGTCGTCAGAGATGGGGGCGTTCAAGAGCAACGTTCTATTGGCCTCCTTCATGGCCGTCATGGACAGCCATAGGTGTCGCTCCGTGACCACCGAAGTGGCCATGGACCTCCCCGCACAGACAGCCAACGCTTGTTAGGTGGAGAATAGCACCAGAAATCCTGGACGCCTCTTCCACCTCCTCCCTCGTGAGCTCAGTCTTACCCGTGGTTAAGCGGGACAGAGAGGCTGCGAGGAGGGCAATGTTATTTGCTGCTGCTACAGCTTGGGCTCCCAACATGAAGGACTTCTCAACAAGCTGCACTGTGAATCGGTCCTTCTGTGTAGGCAAGGTGGCTTTCTTGGACGAGGGCCAGGGACTCGAACCCGGCACGAGATACGCAGCCATGGTGCTCTCGAGCCTGGGATTTCCCTTTGAGAAGCCCTGCGGTCTCCCTTCCACTCTGGTGAATGGGAGGTACACCTTGGCTGGGAAACGCGCCGCCAAAGGTGCCTCCCATGAGCCCTCAATGTATTTACCAAGCGAGGGCATGGCTGGAGCCAGAGGCTCCGCCGCCCTCCTCGGCCGAGAATAAGGGTCGCCCTCCATCATATCCCTTTCCGATCTGGAGGGAATGGGAGGCAGCTTGATCTCTAGACGTTTGGCAGCCCTCTCGATGAGCCCTGGAAAATCCGAGCGCAGAGAGTCTGTGGCGTAAGACAGGGCTGCTGGATTCTCAGAGCCCGTGTCGACATCGCCCAGGGATGAACATGACCTCTCGTTTCTCAAAGGAAAGGGGGTCTTGAAAATGTGGGTCATTGAGACGGATTGTTCCAAAGGAATATCCAACTCGTCCCCAATATCTGTCTTCTCCTGAATCAGCGCCCTCAGATGACGCCTCAGAAGCTGAGGCTAACACCGATAGCACATCCTCAAGAGGGATATCCTCCCTGAAAAATGCCCAACACTGCTTCCTCTCCTTCAAAGAAAGGAGGGCGCAGCTGGCGCATAGTGGGGGATCAATGAGGCCGTCCCTGGCGTGCTGTGACCCTAAACATAAGTAGTGGGGGTCAGCAGTCGCCATGGCGGAACAGCGACATTGAGCTCTGAAAATAGCTTTTGGGGGTGGATAATCTCCTGGTGTGCTCATTAGGACGATGTCGATTACCTGGAAAATCAACTGCGTTTTCTTCGTCCTGTGTCTTCGTTGGCTTCTTCAGTCCAGTCCAGTCGCTGAAGATAATGGGAGGCTGATTGAGGGGAAGCGTCCCCTCTTATAGGGACACCTGTACTCCTATTGGCTGCAGGTGTGTGCAGAATTTTGTCTCAAGCTGTTCGTTGCCTAGGCAGCGGGGTAAACCGATAGGAGCAGAGCTCCCTATGGGGCGGAGCTCCACGATATAGAACCAATGTGGCTCAATTGAAACACTGAAAGTTAAAAGAAAGCATATTGCGTGTTAGCTATTGGTTTGGTCCTAAACTGTTTGAACTGTCAAAAATGCAACAAGACTAAAGAGAGAAGTGTTTAGCAAGAAACATTTAAAATGTTAAATAGCAACTGAAATTCTCACTTATCACTGAGTAGTTAACTGTAAATACTGTCATTCCATTGTTGCAGGGTGACATTGTCACAGACAAATCCTACATTGCCCCTGCTAAAAGAGTACCAGAGGAAATATAAGTAATTACATTTTCAGACACCTAGTAGTTCTGGTACTTCATATGTAGTCACAGCGATATACTAGACAGTAATCTAAAACGTTCTGATTAAATTCTGAATAAAGGTTTTACATTCTTCTCTATATGATCACACTAGATAAGTAAATAGAAAGGTCTTACCATGCCAAGTATACCAGGTTTCGACCCTCTCTGAAGAACAAAGTTATATTTTCTGTCCAGAAGCAGCCAAAACACTCAACAAAACAATACCCAGACTTTGAAACTTCATGGTAAAGTTGATACTCTACAATGGTTTGACTTACTGCCAGTCTCCTGTTTTCATGCAATTAACACTGTTTGACAGTGGCCAAACTTTCTCAAACTTCGAAGTAGCAACTCCTCATTTTGCCCACAGAATACTGGTAGTGTTTTTCTGAAGAGAGGCATTGTTTGAAGCAGAAGGAAGGGACGTTACAATTGAAACCAGTCATGGTGAATTTAGTTTATACTTAGTGATGAAATTAATCCATAAACTTTGTTCAACATTTTTTAATTAATATACTCTATGTCTGTACATTACCTCTTAATAGTCAAAGGAAGAAACCAACATCTCTCAAAGGTTCCCTTTGATATGCTACTGAGACCCTACATTAACAACTAAGCCGTACATACACACACAAACAACCGTTCCATTCAACAGTTCAGACTGCCATTGGCATTATCTGTAGAAATCTGTTAACTTTTATTAGGTTTACCATCCAAGTCTTCCGTATCAAATGAAAAGGGCTGGTCGTAACCCATGAGGTGGTTATAGTCATGAGGAAGTGGGAACAGCATCGGATTCACAAGCATTGACTTCTTGTCGGCATAGAACGTGGTGAACATTTTGCTGACACCCGGTATCTTGACCTCACTCTGACAGAACACAGTCTTTTTCTCCATCAGAAGGATGTTGTAGGTGACAGCTGTGTACGTGTCAGTGTCCTGGTTGTGGTACAGGCGAACCACATAGCCTTTGGTGATGATGTGGAGGAGGATGGGAGTCAGGAATGTGAAGAACCCAATGACACCACAGAAGGCCCCCTTCAGGACAAGACTCTGAACACTGATGCCAGTCTTCAGAAGAATGTAGGGCATCATACACAGGCTGGCCCCGCTACTGGTGTAGGAGAACATCTTCACACCTGCAACAAACAGACAAAAAAATACAATTCATGTTTAGGCCTAGTTATTCAATGATGATGATAATAATGTTGATGATCTGGAGTTGATGATAATGAGAAGATGATGATTGTGAGAGATTGTTGATAATGATTAAAGTAATACCTCGGACAACATTGCCGAGGTTCCCTGAATAGATGAGCTTCCCCTCAGAGTGGTTTGTGGAGGACGTAGAGAAGCAGCGGACCATCTGCTGTACAGAGGCTGGCTGTACCTGGGCAGAGAGAGACACAAATGAGAAACTAGGCTATTTCTTTCCATGCAATGCCTGAAACTGCTACAATTAGACTAGAACAAATAATTAATCAGTTTAAAATAACTTGGTCCACTGCTTAATTATCTTTCAGATGAGATCTTATAGTCTGATCAAATATGTCATAACGCAATTTGCATAGGGGTTGTAGAGATTAATTGAATCGCTAACGCACTTTCAAAAGTTAATGCACTTGCACAACCAAGCCAGTGCAGATCATGCCTAAATCAGGCATAGCTAATGTATCGAGTGCAGAACTATCGAACGTAGAGCCACTACTAGACTAGGACTAGGCTAGCTAGTTAGCTAACATAGCTTCATTCAACAACAACAAAAAACATACGTAGTTAGCCTAATAGGGCATTATTCCCTTGAATGGAAGTAGAGATATCTACCTGACAAGTGAGAAGACAAAATAAAGCCAAATACCTTTTTAGCCGTATCATTGAGAAACGACCTTTTGGCAGCGTGATACAAATACTCTTCGGTCTTCAATGGCAGCCTTCTACACGCGTGAGTAGCAGGCCTCCCATTTCGAAGGGCAGCAAGTTGTATACTAAACTTTAGCGAAATAGCAGTACGTAATCTACGTGCAATGTGATGCTGAAACATTATACAACCATAAAGTTAAGCCACCTTACTAGCTTCTTTGCTAGCTGCATGCACAACAGCACTGTTATTAACCCCCGTCCCTTTCTTCCTCTGTGGCAGTGGTACACACAGGTTCTTCTTCTTTGAGGTTTATTGGCAGACTACACTCATAAGGTGTATTGCCGCCACCTACTGTACGGGGTAGTACAAAATACCCCAAAAACAAAATGTGTTTTGGTTGAACAAATTCATACTAATGACCAAAAACAAAAAACACTGACCAAATGCACGCTACTACCCTGAATTTCAAGCAAAAAAAAAAAAAAACATTTTTTAAAAACCCTGTACTATTCAGATACCTACACAGGCTCAGGAATAGATCCAGAACTATATTTGCCGCCTTCACAAAGATTATTTGATGTTTTATTAGTTTGACTAGTGCAATTTATCATTTGCGCTATAAACGCAACAAAGTCCACCTTCTTCACTATTAGTGTGTCGGGATCCTTCTCCTGCATGGCATTCACTGCAGACTGTGGAACATCCACTACCATCTCTCTACTCACTCCTTCAGCTATTTTCACTGCCTCCACATAGGAGACTTGCTGGATGGCCCTGATCCTAGCTACTGCGACCTCCTTCATCCATACAAGGCACTCCGGGAACGTGATTCCCATCACAATTACAACAACATGCTTAATCTGACTCTTCAACTACTACATATTTATTCCTTCTACAAACACTTGCCACGTGTCCAAACTTTTTACAATTGTAACACTGCAGTGGCTTCTGTACATATGGTCTCACCGCATATCTCATATTCCTAAATTTTACATAAATTGGGAGAACCACTTCATCAAACGACAGTAAAACCGATAGGCTTTGCTCCTTCTTTCCGTCCGTCTATCATTCGATTCAAGCGACGTGCCTCTACCACACCTGGAATGTTCTCCCCAGTGGCGTGTGTTGGTGAACACATAATACGGAGAGGGAGTACAAACCAACGACGCTAGACAGAGAGGAATTTGCTTAAGCAAAAGGCAGTTTATTAAACACAGAGATATCTTGTACTGTTAGTTAGTTAACATGCATGGACCTAATCGTATGGCACTCTATTAGTGTCAGCCGAGAAGGATGCTTAAACAGAGTTTATAGCATTACTTATACAGTGTAACACAAAAGGAGGGGTCCTTCTTCTAGTCCCTTGATTGGTTCCCGAGGCGTAGGAGGCGGGTCTGCTCTGTCCAGAGTAGAAGCCCCATTGGTGCACGGCAGAGTCCTCTGCCCTTGGCACCCGACCAGTAGAAGGGGAGTTGAGAAAGAGTGTGCGTGCAAATGAAATGTTTGTGTGTCAAAGAACTCGTGAGAAGGAACTGGTGATTGGGGCCTTGAGGCGTGGGTGTCGTCCTGTTATTGCACTCCTGCAAGACTAGGCCATCTGGTGACAAGATATGGTGTTCTCCTCTGTCCTTTGTTCTCTGACCTGGAACAGCATTTATTGAAAACAAGCTCCTAACACAAATGGGTCTTGCACAACATTTTAGTCAGACCAATCTATAACATTTTATATTTACTACGACAAATTATATTTACTACGACACGTGTATTCATGAATGCCAATGGAAAATTTAGTCTCTCCGTGTTTCATAATTTTATTTCAATTCGCTAGAGGCTGACAGGAGAAAGCATTCTGAGCGAGCGAAACAGCGCCCCTCTGTCTCTCTACGTGTAGGTCATCTATCTGATGCTGTCTGTTCCAAATTAGTATGACATTGTTGGCGCCTCTAGCATTGAAGGCAAGGCAAGCCAGCGAGCATCTGGCCTCCCTTGACAAAAAAAGTATAACAAATTTGCCAATCAGCATTGAGCTAAACTGAGCGAGCTCAACTGTGAATGGTCCTGGCGCACCAAAAAAAGTGTCAAGGGAAGCCAGCTTGGATTTGGTGTCGCTCCTATCAAATCCCATTGAGAGCATACATCATTGACAGAAAAACTTGAATTGTTGCATCATGTTGTGTTGTTGTCCTCCGGCCCCTGGCCTGAGAGGATGGAAGTTCAATATGTAGCTAGATGTAGAAGGCTAATGTTAACTAGCTAATGTTGCTCATGAATGGAAGTTAGGCTAGCGAGCAAGCATTTTAGCTTGTACTGTATGACAGAGTGATAGACCGTTTCGTCAACATGAAAGAGAGAAGGATGGCATTGGCGTTTCTTACAAGTAGGGTGAGTCAACATGTTTTTCTACTTGCACGCACGCACACACAGAAATCAGAACCATGGACAGCCACGTCATATTTAGCTTTCGTTGATTGGACTAAATTGTTTTTGGTATCTTTTAGTTGTCACTGTATTAGACTAAGCAGAGGTGATTTGATGTTGAAATGATGAAGTTGAAAGGGTTGTGAAATAGTGGAAGCAGCTCTTGTTTTCTTTGCGACTTTCAGTAACTCTCTGTGGTTCTAAATCAATAGTTGTTTAGTGGTCCGAAAATGTCGGAAACATTAACTTGCTTGACCATGCTGTAGGTCATGTAACTGTCTGTTACTGTACGTGCAATAAGCTTTGTTGACTTCACTGGACAGAGGTTGCTATCCGGTTTTGTGATAAAACAAAGGTGTGGTTGAATTTATTCTGCCACTGTGTCTTCTTATTGTCTCGGCCTTTAGGCCTATATATCACGGTCGCAAGGCATATGAATTAACAGGTTATAGAGCAAACAACTCAATTATCACAACAAATAGGTTGTAAAATGGCTTTTTGAGGTGGGGTGGGCTTGGCTTCTCCAGTGATTTTACACACGCACCGCTACTGGTTATCCCTAAACCACACAGCCTCTATGTCCAACGAGACACCAGAGATGACACCTTTAACTGGTGCCCTACTCTGAAAATCATAGCTTTCCACATCATATGTCAACATCTTGTTGAGCGACAGAGCTTTCTCCTTTTGCACTTTTGACACACACGAAGTCATACATCATACCACTCCTGGTCACTCTGACCGATTCCACTTTACCCAATTCGTACTTCACCATTTTCGAGACCACAAACGTGTCACCCAAAATAACATCCTTGCTTACACACAGGATTTCCTGTATGAAGCAGCAATGTCAGAGATACTGGATATAATGATGAGATGCTTATGACTCAGCCCTAACAATCTTCTTCTTCTTAGTGTGGTTTTCCGGCAGACTAGATGATTTGTTGCATTTTGCAAACTGTTCGGGTCACTCTGTACTGTCCTACTACTCACAGGGATCCTCTCAGACTCCCTCACCCTTTTCACACCATCCTCTACTTTCCTCACTGCCACAGCATATGACACTTTGTGCACTGCTCTCACCCTGAAAACTTCAACCTGCCTCACTCACACAGGACATTTCTTGTCCCCAGCAGCATGGCCACCCCCACAATTGAAACACTCTACTTATTTCACCGAAACTATATACTTCTTTGTCCCATGCCCTCCTGCACACTTCTAACACATCAGAATCTCCCTCCTACATACTTCTGCAATATGACCATAAACTTGGCATCTGAAACACCGTAGTGGGCTCGGAACAAAAGCTCTCACAGGATAACTTATATACCCTAGCATGACTTTATCCTGCAAACACTCTGCATCAAAACTCAGAAGGACAGACAGGGTCTCCTCAGTCTCGCTCTTGCCACTGGGTCTGCATCGCACCAAACAGCGTGCATCACAGACACCGGGGATCCTCAACTTCAGTCGATCCACCTCAAAACTCAACGTCACCCCAGTTATCACTCCTTTCAGTGGTGCTCTGCTCCGGAGAGCAAAACAGGACAAAGCTAACGTTCCGAATCATGAAATGCCTAGTGCCCTCTCCCCCTGGGCAGCAGACACACAAAAAAAAAAGTCCACTTATGGATATTTTATTTATTTAATTTTATTGGTACTTTTTACCCCTTTTATCGTGATATCAATTGGTAGTTACTGTCTTGTCCCATCGCTGCAACTCCTGTACAGACTCGGGAGAGGCGAAGGTCGAGAGCCATGCGTTCTCCGAAACACGACCCCGCCAAGCTGCACTGTTTCTTGACACACTGCTCGCTTAACCCGGAAGCCAGGCGCACCAATGTGTCGGAGGAAACACTGTTCAGCTGGCGACCGAAGTCAGCATGCATGCGTTCGGCCCGCCACAAGGAGTCGCTAGAGCGCAATGGGACAAGGACATCCCGGCCGGCCAAACCCTCCCCTAACCCGAAAAACGCTGGGCCAATTGTGCGCCGCCTAATGGGTCTCCCGGTCGCGGCCGGCTGCGACACAGCCTGTGCCGGTTTTGACACCTTAACGCTCTGCCATAAATTAGAGACGAAGGGGATCTCTCCCTTGCTCTCCAGTATTGGTAAAGGAATGTCTTTGTTCCAGAAGACTTTTGCCGTCAAAACTATTAACGTCCAAAAAGTAAACACTGGAACAATATTCCTAACATCCGAATGTTTGGAATGGTCAGTGGGGATCTAAAGAATAAACATGTCAAATATAAAAACTGTCTGAACCAAATACTGTAACTTAGGAAGGATACCCCTTTTATCTGTCAAGTTTCCATCCAATACGTTGTCTATGTGATATAAAAATAGATGAAACTATTTTTGTTAAGATAGGAATCTAATATTAGCAACCTGATAGCAAATATGGATCAGCCAAAATGCAAGGATCCATTCTCTCTACAAATCTCACTCCCACTGGGCCAGAATCCTTCTTATCATCCTCGGGACGAGGCCGGAACTCGGTGGTCCTCACGACAGGCACTTCATCCTCACTCTCGGCAGGTTCCATCTCTGAACTACTGGACTACTCTCAACACCCCTCACTAAAATGTAGAGATAACTTCTAATCATATCCTTTGCACAGTAACTAGCCACGCCCCAAGTGCCATCAGAGATCGTGTCAGCAAGTAGGAACGCCCCTTTTACGAAGAGGGCATGAAGGCTTGAAAGACAAATTAACATTAGACCAGAAAGCGTGGAGCTGTGGCTACACGGCTTAAAATGGTTAAACCAGAAAGACCAGCCGACGTGCAGCGGGAGCTGAACGTTACAAATGGTTGACACTCTAAGACCAGGAAACGTGAGACGTTAGTCCACAGGTTTGAAATCGTGAGAAACT